CTTCCACCATTTAAAAGAATCAAATGTAAAATTCTGGAATAGCCGTGGTTTACAAGGATGCTTAATTGCTGTTGGGCACGAGAGTGGTCCAGTGCTTGGCAGCCGCTTGCTCCAACATGTTCATTTTGGGCAGATGACCTTGGCAGATTCATGATTTTGGGGTTCTGGGATGGTACCTCAAAATCCACACTCTTCCCAGGCTAATAAATTGCTGTTGTCTTTGGTTTCTTGTGATCCTGTGAGATATTTGTGTTGTCAGGATCTGATTTGATTCCAGATTTGAACTCTGGAAACTTTGGTTGTGTTTTTTTTCCTCGTGTTTCCTTGTTTGCTTTTATTCCACTGAAAACTGAGATTATCTTGCATTTATATATCTCCAAGAACATGCACGGTTTTAAAAAGAAAACAATAAGAATCACGACAGATGGATGAAATCTGGGAGCACCGTTAATTTAGCTCAGCTGAGCTTTGCATGGTTTAGGTGAACACAGTTGTAACTTCATCAGATCTTCCCCTTGCTTTGCTGGGCACGCTGGCACCATTGGCAGCCAGCACTGCACCAAGGGCTCCTGCACCGCATGGCGCCTGACCTCTGCGTGTCACCACGTCTCTGAATTTGTGATTCGTTTCCCTTTAAAAAAAAAAAAAAAAATTAAAAATGAAGTGTGTGCAGCCATCCTTTAAAATCTTTTTAGTGTGACAAGTAAAGTAATCTTCCATTGATACTTAAAAGTCCATCTGCAGAAATTCAGGGAGAATGTTGAGAGAGACGCAATATCTATTGAAATGTTGAGTGTCAAACTGCCAGGGTAATGTATTTAGTATGAAATATAATATTCAGTGCATTTTGTTTTGATGACTGCATGAAATAGCCTTGTGCTCTTATCCTTTGTTGTTGTTGTGAAAGATGATATTCACTAAGAAGTGTCGGTGACTATTCAAGACACAGTAGCAATGTGCTTATTACCATCTTCATCATCTGTCTTTTATGTTTATTCACAATGGCTTTGGTTACAGTTCAGTTCACCGGGATAACAAAAACACTTTTAATTGTTCCACAGTAGAAATTAGAGTCAGTATATGAACGATTTGAAAACAGATGAGGCTTGAAGTGCGTTAGGTGATCGGTAATTAATACTTGGATTAGCCTTTTTAAGTTTCGTGCAATTAGGCTGCTCAAATCAAGTCAGTCCTGTTGCTTTATGGTAGATCCTTGAGCAGAGGTTAGAGCCACGCAGCTGGGTTTCTGAAAGCCTGATTTTCTGCAAGGAGTGGTTTGGGAGCCCAGCCACCTCCCTGTCCCTGCTGACTGTGTCCACATCAGTGCTAAACTGAGGTAAGTATGGGTAAAATAATCTGCTTTTCTCCCTGCTACTGGTTTCTGTTGAGGCGGGGGTGCCCTGGCTCTGCTGCTGGCAGACATCTGCACGCTTGGAGCTCATGCTCAGCTCCCTGCAAACCTCAGCTGCCTTGTGGCAAGCAGCGTCAGTGTGAGATGTGCAGGGCTAGGAGGGCTGCACGGATCCCTGCCACCCGACTGGCCATTTGGAGGCCCTCCTGTAACAGAGATTTCAGAAACAGAGATTTCAGGACCTGCTGAGAGAGCTGAGGGCAAAGAGAGGTGTGTA